GATCATTGGATTCTTCTCAACCAGCACCTTCACGTATTCTCATATTACATCGGAGTCCAATAATCAGTGGTCTTGTTCAATTGAGTTTCGCAAACATGTGTGAGGACCATTGTACCTTGTGATGACCCAAGCATCGTGCATCTGAATTTTGGACACCCTAATCTTCTACTTGCACTTTGGGTCATTTTTAACAACACACTTCACATATATGGTTTGTTGGTTGGACTATGCAACATGAACATCAACATGGCCTTTGATGCAGTACTCTTTAATCGCCAACGTAACTTTATTTTTCCTCTAAATTGCATCCCAACCGAAAATTCACTAGAATTTTTTAATGCTTTAACCATGTCGTATGGAGGTATATGTGGCATGTTTGGGAATTATGGTGCCCTCATCATATCATAATATATCTCGTACATGTGAGGGGTAGGTTGATAAGGTGTCAGAACTTGATCAGTGGCCAGGTTAGGTGCACCATCATAACATAAATTATCATCGTCGACCAAAATTGGTTCCTCAATTTCTTCATCTTCGCTGGAATCATCATGGATTTCTCCCCATTTATTTCCAACATCAACATCAATAATCAATTCCGAATGATATATGTTTCTCTCCTCGTACTTTGCTGCTATGGATGTTCTACCGACTTTTTTCGACTTTCCAAAAGCGACATAAAATTTTTTATCGATCTGTATGTCGGGTCCTCAAACTCACTTCCGAAAGCCATATGATATGAATTTCCAGCCACATTTCTTGATGACCCAAGAACATCAGATATCTTACGCACATCAACATATAACTCAATAACTGAAATATTTGTTGAATCATGTAATCCAATCATGGTTCCAATATCATTATCTTCATCAGCTGGTACTGCAACATATCTAACTAGATTGGGACATACCATAAACCTGTACTTCAAACCATCAATTGTAGTTTGAATTTTCCTTTCTATCCTTTGTTTCATTTCTACAAATGTGATGTCCCTTTTGAACATTAAATTTATATGTCTTTCAGACTGAAAAACAACTTCGATCTCATTTTCCATAATATGTCCATTATAATGGACAATCATGAAAAAGTTGTTGCTCATTTTCTCTACAAATTAATTTTTTTTTATTTAGAATAAAAATTATATTACACCATGATCATAAATCGTAAAAATGATATTATACAATATAAAAATAATATTAATATAACAACAATAGTAAAATTAACAAATATTAATAAAAATAAAATTAACATAATAATCAATAGTAAAACACCTTAAATAAAATTTCTTCAAACTCAATTCACATTCTTTCTGCAAAAAAAAAACTATTAGACTAATTTCAAACAAAATAACAAAAATTTAAACCAAGTTACCATACAATACATACTCAAATTAGAATAACGAAAGAAAAGAACACACTAAATTTTCTGAAATGCTCAATCTGTTAATTTTCTTTGCAATTGTTTCTGCTCATTCTATCAAATTTCTTAATTGCAATTGCCCCGATTTCATTCTTATATAGTTGAAAGAATTTTTTTTAAGTTCAACTTGTTATTACAGGGTATGGGTTAGGATAGGGGTATGAGATAGGATAGGGGTATGGGTTAAGGTTTTATCATTCGAATGCCAGTTACCTACCAACTTGCACCTACGTAGGCATGCAAGGCCACATAAGAGGGAGACGCATGCGACTTTGTCGGTCACACGAAAGGACAACTTCGCATGGAAGGTCACAGGAGGGAGACACATGGCTCCCAATGCGTCTTTAAAGGGTAGGGTGGCCATGAGAGAGACGTATGGAATACCATGCGACTTCCATGCATAGAAACCGACACCATGCAACCTTGAGGGGCATAAAAAACACTACACCACCCTTTACCCTTTTTAATTTATGGAATATCATGCAGCGGGGGACGTGGGGTTTCTAGAGCTAAAACACATGGAATATCATGCGACCTTGGTGGGGGTAAAACGTATGGAGCACGGTGCGACCATGGTGGTTCCAGCTAGGTCATGGGGAGTACAATGCGTCTCCCATATATACTGTAGCATTCACGCTCTTCGACGAAATAATCTCTCACTACCATTATCTGATGAAATATTTTTTTCCTGACATATTATTTGAAAAATTTAGCCCGCTACACCACCCTTTACCTTTTTTAATTTATATATATCACCAAAAACATTAGTTTATTAGATTTTACTAGACATGGCAAGCTTGACCCGAATCGATTTATTCGACCTAATACTAGATATTAACTCGAATATGATAATCAAATTTGATTTGATACCCGATCCGAACAACACCCGACCTAAAATTTAGCGAAACCGAAAGTAAACCTAAATTAACCCAAATTGAAATCAAAATTAACCCAAACTTAATTTTAACCCGATCCGAAAGCAATCCGAATCGAATTGAACCTGACTCGAAAGCAAACCAATCATAAATTAATCCGAATAGAATAATAAATTCATTTAAATAAAATTGATAATTTATTGAAATATTAGATTTATAATAAAAATTAATCCGAACCGAACATAAGAGGAATACAAAAATAAGAATCTAATTGTAAGATTGAAAACAATAATAAATAAAGTTTATGTATCTTACTTGTAAGAAAAATATTAGATTTATAACAAAAATAATAGAAACAATTAAAATAAAGGAAATAATATTAGATTTGTAATAAAAATAATATAAAGTTTATTTATGTTATAACTAAAACTTAACCAATAAAGTTATGTATTGTTTTTTAAAATTTAATAAAATTTCAAATTTATAATTGAAAAAAAAAATTCATAAAAATTCATTTCTTTATCAAATAGTTTTCATTATAAACTTTATATACAATATTAATATAAAATTTTGATAACAAATTTTAACACTAATTATAGGATCGAATTTGTGCCAAATTATCAATTTATCATCTCTAAATGTTGGTTTAATTCAAAATATTGAGCGATTGAGAATTGAAATTAGACCTAAATGATAAGATTAACAAACAAGAAGACATTTTTTTACAAGAATATATCAATAATTCTATATATACTTGATTAGAATCAATTCAACCCGAATTGACCTGATCAAAAGGTTGGCCTAAACTGAAAATCAACCGATCCGATATTGACTCGACCCAAAATCTAACCGATTCGATATTGACCCGACCCAAAAATCAATCGATCTGATATTGATCCAAACTGAAAAACAACAAATCTGATAATCACCCGACCTGAAAATTAACTTGACCCGACACCCGACCTGATCTTATTTACCGTACACCCAAACTAGATCCGAACCAAATCCGATCCTACCCGAACAAAATTAAATTGAATCTAAACCCTAAATGACCATACCCAAACCCAATCCAAATGACCCGTTTGTCACCTCTAGATTATACTATATCAAGATAAAAGAATCAAATATAATTTATAATAAATACATGTTTATGAAAAAATTGTCTAATAAATAACTATAATTAATTTGTTTATAAACTATATAAAAATAATAATTTTACAAGTAATATTGCATACCATTTAAAGGAGTAATATGGCCTTCTCTTTAGTTGCTCTCTCCTTTGTCTTCCTTCTTTTTTTTTTCTTTGAGTTTGTATCATTTTTTCATAGGTCAGATCAATTTTTTTTCTTTAATTTTCTTTAGCCGATGACGGTACTGATTTTGATGTTGGTTACCGGCCGTCTATTCTATTTTTTTAACAAGAATAATTATGCATGTGTTGCATGTTTATCTTTGCCTGTGTTGTATGTTTATCTCTGTCTTTGTGGCACGTTTATCTCTGCCTTTGTGGCACGTTTATCTCTGTCTTAGTGGCATGTTTTTTTGGGTTTTTCTCGGTCGTTTATCCTTATTTATGTTTTATTATAGTTGGATTTGATGACATCATGACTGATTATGATGTTGCTTATTCGAAATCTTGTTGATCTTCTCTGCTATAGACATTTGGATTGAATTTGGATGCGTGATTTTGCGTATGTGGATAATTTCTCATGACACCCGGCTCTGGTCTGTAGTTATCGGTGGTCTTTCAATAGCTTAATTCCCTTTTGTGTTTTATTTACCGATGCAATCAGATTTATTCATATCTATTTTTTTTCAAGTCTCTTGGTTGAGTTTTTAATCTTTTCCATGTATGGTCCTTCTATGATCTAAAGTGACTAGTTTCCATGTTATAGAAAAAGTCTAAATTATGTATTTAATTTACGATGACAGTTGTAAACTCTTATTGTAATTTCGGATACTTTTACTTTTTTAATAATACTAGTTGCTTCTATTAAAAAAAAGAGTAATATGTAAGACTCAAATAGACGATTAATCATAGATGGTTATCCTGGATCGCCTTCCTACTCGAGATAGACTATTTAGAATGGGAATTGTTTCTGACCGACTATGTATTTTATGCAATGAGGATCTTGAATCTAGAAATCATTTGTTTTTTTATTGCACCTATGCATCTTCTCTATGGAACTCTATCATGAATCTTACTAACATGTGAGATACTCACAGGACATGGGATTCAAGGATTGAATGGGTTGCTCATAAATGGAAGGGCAAATCTTTACTTTCCACCATACTGAGAATAGCTTGGAACGCTTTTAACTACTTGATTTGGGAGGAAATAAATAGAAGGATTTTCAAAAGAGGATCAAGAACAACAGATCAAGTTCTTAAGTCTATTAAGGAGATTGTCCGTATCCAACTCAGTGACAAAAAATCAATAGAATTGATAATGTTAATACTAATCTATGTAATTATTGGGGTATCGACTAATCATTTTTGTTGTAAGTAGTTGTTTATACTCCCAATTGGGATGATTGTTGTTTGTTGAACCTTTCTTACTTGGATAATAAATGCTACTTATCCAAAAAAAAATAGACGATTAATCCATTCAATTGAATTTTGGTCATTATAACTCTCTTTTTGGTAAGAGTAAATTTCGTCTTTGAAATTTTTTAAATGAAACCATTACGAATACATTAATACAGAGCTGCCATTGTTACACTTTATATCACACTTACTCCTCCCTTAAACCGTACAAATCTACACCGGCAGGCCCCCGGAGTAGGCAACGTTGAATGTCACTAAGAGTAACTGCCAGCATTTAAGCTACACGGCAAGTCCCTTTGGATCGGCAGCTTCTACCTCAGCATATTTGATACATTGCACTCATCTCGATCTCAAGTATCGGAGCCTTGCATTCGTATCTGTCATTTGTTCCGGTGCTTTCACCTGTCGAATTCGCAGGAACATCTATATGAGTGCTTACATCGCTCGACAGAAAACTGAACACAAGCAAAATTTAAAAAAGGATTGTTAGTGTTCATATCCCTTACTTTGACAGTTACATATAGGAACAATGCTTATTTGTTTATTCGATTCCCATTCCATTTTCTAGCTAGCATGAGGCAAACAAGAAGCTTTATATTAAACGAAGCTCTACCGAGACTCTTTTCGCTTTCCAATAATTCTGGCTTCAAGAGGGAATTCCGGAATAAAGAGTACATACAACATTACTCGGTTACTCTGCTATAGTAAATGATGACAATATGGATGTCAAAATTCAACAAAGAGTAAAAAGGAAGGAAATATTAGTTAAGATCGAGGCGACAAATGCACCGTTCAAAACACGTTTTGTCTCATTTCTTATATATAGTGCTTATGCAGAACCATAAGAAGCTAACTGGGAAATGAACATATTTAAGATAATATATTGTTATCTATAAGGCAAGTTCATTAGACACAAAATCAGGAACTCTACCTCTTTAGCTGAGCCTTGTACAAGTCATCTACCTCTAAAACTTCTGCAAGCTCAACTCCCATAAATAGACTTTCCTTATTGCAGTTCCGATCATCATCGACCTGATACAAAAGCGAAAGTTTTTTGAAAAACTATAACTTATTGTCATACCAAACCAAAGCGACGAATGATTGCTTAATGTTAAAGATTCCAATCAACACGCAAGAACCACAAAACATGTAGCAATATTAACCTGTATGCAGGATTGCTCATTTTCCAGCGAAGTTTCCCGAGTTCCCAAGGCATCTGCAAGGGAAACTTTATCACACCTGCAACTACTAATGATTTTCTGAACGAATAACATCGTTTCATCCTCGAGTTCTTCATAGTCTCTTGATAGAATCACAAGAGAAGTTTCCATTATTTCATTTTCGAATTTGATTTCGCTCATTGTTTCCTTGAGAGTCAAAATTTCATCCTGAAGGAGTACCTTTTTCTGCAATTGAGCCAAAATTTCTTCTTCCAAAAGCTGGTTCTCTCTGTGGAGGTTTTCTGATTCTCTCAATTCTACTTCTAAGACTGTACACCAAACGTTTAACTCCATTGTTTCTTTCCTAATGTCATCATTTTCTTTCTGCAGCATACTACATTCTTCAACGAGTTTAAGATTTTCAATTTTAAGATAATCACACTCTTCTTGAACTACTAGCCACTGCCTTTGCATCTCTTCGATCTTTTGTCTCATAACAAACCTTTGCACCTCCATTTCATCTTCCAATCTTCTTATTATCTCATCTTTGAAATTCTTAGCATCAAACTCTGGAATTTGTAGTTCCATATGACAGTACTCACTCTTATCATTTGGATACATTAATTTTTCTTCTAAAGCACGCAACTCTTCTGATAAAAGTAAATTTCCTTCTAATTCAGATAAATAAACTTCTATTTCCTGCTTTCCGTCTTCGAATTTCGAAGATTTCTTTGCGAGAATTTTCTCAGTGGAAATCCTTGAATCCGTATTGCTATCGAGTTCCAACATTTCACTCCGCAAATCATCCAAGAATTTAGCCATAACAACAACTTCTCTCCGCATTATTTCCATATTTTCCTCCAACTGGCTTTTCTGCTCCTCAACAGAACAAATATGAGCTTCTAACTGTATTTGTTGATGCCGCAAAGCCTCGAGCTCATTATCCTTGACCAAATTGTCTGATTTATGCTTCTCTATCTCGATTAGTTTCGCTAACAACTCCTTTACCAGATCACTTTCTTCCGGACAAGGAGGACTATGTTGTGTTTGAGTAATCAAATCCATACTTCTCAAACTTTCCAAACTATCATATCCATGAGTTCCTTTAGGATTTGCAATTGAATAAAGAGTACATAACTGCTTTAACTCAGCTAAACAAAGTTGAATCTGTTCATCAAACTCAGCAATAGGCAATTGAGAAATCCTAGATTCTACAAATGCACGAACAAATCTATTCTCAAGATTATGAATCTTTGACAAAAGATCAACTACTGTAACATGTAAATCTTCAATATTGCATCTATGCATTTTATCAACCTGAAATGGAAAAAAGAAAAAAGAATCGAGTTTATTACTTGACTATTATAGATAACCCTTTCAATAAAATAACTGTCAGCAAAAGCAAACATTTTTACCCCTTTATTGCTATGCAATGAAACTTGGTCAGGAATTTGGACACTCAACAAGTTTGGCATTGATCCTTCTTAGTCGGACTTTTGTCTCCCGACTCCACAAGCCTGTCGGGAGTCAGGATACAGAAGACACTTCGCCGACTTCTCCGTGTGTGGAGTTGGGGGGAAAAATAAACCCGACTCAGGAGTCAATACCGAACTTGTTGAAGGCAATGATGGACCAAGGGATTGTCAGGGGAGGTCGCCTCTCCTAAAAGTTTCAAATTCTCATATATTTTAGATATTTTCTTGGTATTTTCTATCAATAATCTGTTTTCGTCTGCTAAAATTTGATAAGTTCACTCCTAGCATATAATCTTGCGTCCATATCCCAGTTGAAGGTTTGAAATCCTCAGCACAAAACTTCTAACCTTAAAAACTGTATAAATAGCAATGCTGAATCCTAGTCTAAACAAATTGTCATTTCTTTAGTTCCTTCAATCTAATAACTGATAATAATGATTTCAATTGAGTTAATTATATGCTTTCCTTTAACTATTCAGTTCGAGAATGTGAAAACAGATAATTCCTTAGCAGTATCAGCTCATTTTAGCATTCAAATCTTTCACTACATATGTAAAGCACAGCCAAAAAGATTAAAGAATAAAAATCAAAGCAACGTGTTTAAAATTAGGGTAAAGAAGAACACTGACATTCTCAGATTCGCGTCGATGCAGCCTTTTTTGAACTAATGTGGCTTCTTCTTCGGCTAACCGCTCGCTGTTATCCACTTCTTTGAACTCGTATAAACTACCCTCAGCTAAAACATGTTTCTCCAGCTTCGCCATTACTAACCCCTGAAATATTCGAACAAAAAAACAAGTGGGGGTCTGAAAATTAGTTGGCCAAGATCAGTGTGGGTCTCTAAGTTTCCGTTAATGGAAATCTGAAGGCAAAATGCGTTTTTTCTTCTTCTTTTGAATCAATGATTTCGCGCTATGATTTTCAAATCTGAATTTTGGGGGCCCTCACTGTTTGGGAAAAATTAATAAAGTAAGCCTTGGAATTAATGTGAATTTTTTTTTAATTAATATCAAACTATTGTTTCATTTCAATGAACTAACAAACCAAAACTCAAAAACGTCAATAATGTTGCTATTCATGTGGGTAATATAAAGAATCAATAATTTATATTTAACGTCTAATTTATGTAATGTGTGAATTTATCTTTGGACATTGTCCGTTATATTTTTCTAAAATAAACACTTTACCTTATATTTTTTTAATATATCAAATTTTTAATGATTTTAGCGGTTGTCTTCTTCAATTTGGACAACTTTTTTCACTCTATATAAGACATAATTATTATAATATTTCTTTATATTTTCAAGATCAGACATCGACTGATTCATAATATACATTCTGTTGTCTTCTCAACTTAATTTTAAACATCACATCATAATAAACATCTTTTGTTAAAGATCACATGAAACATTGTAATAGCATTTTTTATGTAGGGGCACTTCAATTTAAATAGAAGACATAAAACAAAACAAAAACTTAAACATAGCTATCAATCAATGACTTCCTCATCTCGTCGACAATGGCAGTAGGTTGTGCTTCCCTCAGCTTGAAGACACTCTCGATCACTGAAAGCTCAGTTGCCGTTGTGTCCGACCCGCAAAAGGCGGTCCAATCATTTACGGTCATCCCGGCAGCTATCACTTCACTCCCACGGTTGATAGTGCCAGCCACCAACGGAACCTGAAGCAGTGTCGAAAGCTCATCCAAATCCTCAATGGATGTATGAGGATGAACCTGCACCATCCAACACCCAAAATCAATATATATATATGGGTTATCGAAAAAAATACGAGATAATTAGCGTTGAAGGGTTTCAATCTTACCAAGCCACCTCTGTTAGAGAGGGCACAGTAGCTCCCTACAAGGATATTACCGGCAATTGTCTGCCGGAAAACTTCTACACCAAGAACATCAGCGATTATCTCCTCAGTTTCCTGGTTCAAATTGCAGATGAACAGCATTATGAACATACTGTAATATACTGAGATACTAAAGAATAGACATGCTCCTGTCATTTTACTCCGAAACTAAAATAACGCACCGATGAGATACGCATAGAAATTCACGAGTAAGGCCAACTCGAAGTGGATATAGTTGATACCATTAAAAGAACAGCATTATAAATATCGATCAATTATTACAATGGCATATAGAATTTTACCTTGTCTAGATCAGTGTGTGTCAAAGCAACATGATCATTGCAAGCAATACAGTTCCCAAGAGCAGAAAGTTTCTCATCTATCCGCTGAACAACAACTTGATCTGGTAGACTATTTCGCAAGTGTTGAAGTTCTTCAATAAGAAACAATAAACTTTGAAAATAGCAACGTACAACAGAGTTTGAACTTCAAAATTAGTGACAAAAGTATGTGATTACAAGCCACTAAGATTTACATGCCACAGTTCAGATCCAGATCAGTAATAATAATAATAATAGAAGAGCGTCAAACGACATCACGTTCATCCTTCTTCAAAATAGCTCGTAAAATTACCTTGATCTGTGGTATTGTGCGGGACAAGTAGCCCATTCTTATTTCCTGTCAGAACAAAGCAAAGCTCAGATAAGTGAAGTCAGAGGCATCTAACAGATAAGATCGTGAAAGTTGTAAAAAACTCTCACCAGCACATAGCCGTCCTATTATCCTAGTGCCGGCAATAGAGGTCTTAACAACAGGAATGACATCTGCCAGCTCCGACTCAAAAGCACTGCAAGGTGCTGATATAACCTTAATACATTACCAAGAATAGGAAAAGAAAACTGCAGAAGACATGCTCACCTATAGAAGTTTTCTGACCCTCCAATTGCAACTAAGCAGTAAGCATTGGTCAGCTTGGAAAAGACTCCAACATCACATGAATTTTCAAACTGAAGCCCTGCATAAATTACAATATGAGACTCGCGATACATGTGATCTTAGTTATATACAATGCTAACCAATATACATGATCTTAGTTATATATATCAAAAGAATATTAGATATATATACATATTGAAGGCTGAAGTGAAACTTACTAGTTGCCATTATCAAGCCAAAACAATTGATCAAAGATGACAAAAGAAAGGAAGAAGCTCTGCAACAAAAAAGGGTGGGTTTTAATCAACCAGAAAACAAAAGGATCATACAATTCTGAGATTAGAAAAGAAAATTATATTCCTCGGATCGTCATACATAATAACATATTCCAGCAAGACACTTTCATAAAACTTGTGGTCAAGTTCAAACAACTCTCTCTCAACATTTAGCTTTAGCCCACATTCGTGTAACTTGATTACAAAGAATAAAGATCACACTAATAAGACGTTCAAAGACATAAAGAGTAAGTAGCCTAATTTGTAAGTTTACACTCGATGAAGGTCGATAGAAAACCAAAACAAGAGTCCACACAACAAGGGTCAAAAGAAATTTCATGGATATCAAATAACAACTAATAAAACATTTACTTTTTAAATAAAATTCATTATATATATCCTCCACGATTCGTCATAACACAGAAACACATCCTGGGCTAAATGGTACGCTAAATCTGTATCATCTAAATCAACTCCTTAGAAATATCATATCTGATGCCACTAAATACAACCTGCTAACAATCAATTCCAAATGCCAACAGAAACAAAAGGAAGATTATGTTAAGTGCAATATTAGTAACTTTGCATATGATTCATTCTAAGAAAAACACACACACATATATATAGTGTGTGGTTTAAGACAAAATTTAAACATATAAATAAATATGAAAACTGAAGTCTCAAAAATCTTACAATTCTTATTGAACCGAATGAACCAAATATATATATATGTAAAGAGATAGCATCCATTCAAACTACTCAGGTAGATAAAACCAAATTTTTTACGTTAAAAACTCTCTATTTGACTAGACTCAACTCAAAAAATTTCATATTCGAGTTAAACTATAAAATAGAACTCGGATAAATAAAAACTTTTAATAATTAGTGGATTGTTCTTCAAGTTAGTGTCCTATCTCTAGACTCTAAATGATAATATCATATATGAAAAACATATACCTTATATGGCTATAGTATATTGTTATAGAAAACCATTTAGATTAAGAGCAAATAGTAACATAAAATTATGCTAAATATTTACAATTAAAGTTCAAACAAAAACTCAAACAAATTGATTCAAATTTCATAAACTAGATTTGATTAAAAAAATTT